GGTGTGGAGTCTGCCGCAGGTGTGAAGTCTGTCGGCTGTCTCGTTCTTGCCGGCGACTGACGCTCCTGACGCGCCCCATGCGGTCGCTGGCGCGCTGTTAGAAAAGTGCGTTGACCTGGCCATGTCCTTCGTGAGCACCTATGCAGCCGCAAACTCGGTAGCAGATGGAGGTCACCACATACCGTCTCGGGGCGATTTGGACAAAAAAGGTCGCGTCGGCTGATAAGCGAATTACACTGCGTCCAAAGGCTCTCCCACAATAACGTCGTATTCGCGCGGCACACGACTAATTGTTTTCGCAAAGGGAATGTTTCACATTTAAAGGTATCGGAGCAAGGATCAAATATGAGGAAATAAACTCGCATTTAACAATTGGCATCTTTTCAGTAGAAAATACTGCTCCAGACAACATAATTTCTTTCTTTAATAAATACCCTACTCGATACGTTATTGTGCGATTACGCCATCATACCTTCCACGAGATTGGTTGAGAGCCAATTGATGGCTGTTATATCTAGAAATCTTGATCGTATTCGTCAGATATGACCGACTCAAAAACAATGTTTTCCTAGGCCTTGATTGCCGCATGGTCAATGAAATGGCAGGATTTCAATGACGTTATTATGGCGTCATGAATGCCTGGGTGACCTTAAAAGTCTCCCCGAAAATGTCGACACATCTCCGTGGGCGTGTAGCTCAGAAACTAGTGGAGTGTAGGTTTTAAGAAGGGATGGGGTGTAAACTGTAACGAGTGGTGTTCACGGTGGCTACTTTGGTTCAAAGCCCACACAAATGCGGGCATTCCTGTTAAACAGATATCAGCCCGGCAGAACACTCACCTAAGCAAACTGCCCCTGACTTTATCAGCACCTCGGCATAATGTCCTGTTAGGTGAAGCGTGGCCAAGGCTGTATGGGATCTGGAAGTTAATAACAATGTCTGCGTGACCAGAGTCCACCAGATGGCCGCGAGTGTAATATGCGGAATACACTGGCAGTCATTAGGTGCAGCTTGGTGTCCATCTGCTGCTTCAGACGTGATGTATTTTTGCCATGAAAAATGCACGAAAGGTGGCGGATGGTCCTTGTTAGCAGGTAGGTGTAATGACGGTAGGATTCATGTCATCAACGGGAAATGAATGGTCTTCAATACTGAGTACAAGTGTCGAGTACGAATCATGTTTTGTGCTACCTGATGCAGGAATTTGGGCAGTGGTACTAGTTTGTTTGGGCAGCTGTGACGAATATGAGACTGGGAAGCGATTAGCTCAAGAGGAACACCACAACCGAGCATGTGAGTGCAAGGAAAAATTAATAAAATCACGGACGAACGTGCAACAACTCCGCGAGGGAGGGCTAAAACACGCGCACATAACGACGGTCGGATCAACAAAACACGTGCCGTTTAACGAGCTACCTCTCCGCAAGCTGAAGTGCTGCAAGTGAGTCAGCTCATCCGTGACAGCAACAGTTTTGACACGGTAAGTCTGGCAACGACTGTGTAGTCATAAAAACAGTCCATGATGTAATCAAACGGTGGCGTATTGAGGAGCATCTTTACTAAATAGGGAATTTTTCACTTGACCAGGCTTTAGCACTTCAAAACATAGCAATATTTAGCGGTGAGCCTATTTTCTCATATTTAATGCTTGGCTCAATGCTTTCAAATGCGAAAAATTCCCTTTAAATGCATGTACTGAAGTACGTCGCTCAGGAACGTGCACGGAGACGTGCGCAATAGGCACAAGCCATCTCATGTGCGTCATCTTGAACGCCGGATGGACAATTTGGCACGGGGCTTGGCATGGCGCATTGTCTGCGGCTATTTCAATCAATATGAACTGTATGATTGGGACGTAGCTGGTTAAAAGTTAATAATTGTTTACCTGCCTAGGTAAATCGTGTTCATAAATTGAGTTTCGCATGGAACGAGAGATTTGAGTGCAGATGATGGAACGTCACGGAAGCGAAACAAGGTGGGGAGGTGAGGTTTTGGGCTGTGCAACGTCCGACGCGGGACGATGTGTCTCACAGGTTAGGTGTCGTGGGTAGAGACGAAACGACCGACGTAACATGTTGGTGCCCCCCTACCACGAGCTTTTCGGGCCGATCTATATCAAACATTTACGATGGGATGTCGCTCGGCCGATAGCCTATCTATTTAAGAAGATAGTGACCTTGGGTCACATCAAAGGTCACCAAAAGCACCCGAAATTGCCACAGTGGGCTACAGACAGACCCATACTCTAATCTTATGAGACCGGTCGGCACAAATTTATATCTTCTTTACATTCTTTTTTTCATTGAAGATGCGTCTGCGTGGTGGTTACTCGGGGTCTAATCGTGCAACACGAAAACAACACAGCGCACAGAAATGCTCATAAATGCAGAGGTGAAAGCGGTTTCATTCAGGGAGTCAGCGATTTCAAACAGTCAAGAGTGCCCGAATGGAGCGGGCGCGGACGGCCGGCGCAAACAGCCGGTTCCTTGCGGCGGCGGCTCCGTACGGAAAATGCCGCTGAGTGGCGGTCAGTCGGACACGCGGCAGATGTAGCGCGCCGACGCCGCCCGAAACAGGTCCAGCGATTGGTGGCGATTAGGTCTAGTAGTGTTGGCATCGGATGAAGATGGGTGCGCTCGACTACCAGCTGTTTGAGACTCAGGTCTCTCAGGATGGTCTGGAAGCCGCGTACACCGGGGCCGTCCGGGAGGAGGAGAATGATGTTTTAGCCCCCGGTGCCAATATCGGTTTTGCTGTTGCGGCGGCAGCCTGTAGCTGGTATCGAACGTTCTCCAGGCATCGGAACGTTAGTCTTCCCGACGGTTGATAGATGGCACCGATCACCACTACGCAATGGCCAGCAAATCGGTGGCAAATCCTTAACTTATCAATGCGTCATGGTCAACAACTTATCATTTTCAGAACATGGCAGCCATAGGTCATGCATAAGGTCACAAAACGCCCGAAACCGACCAAAGATAGCTTTGCACACAACGCCATGCTTCGAGATATTGGAACTAACCACCACACAACCTACGCCAGTTGGTACGCCTGGGCCGATAACTTATTCGTTCCCTAGCATTGGTGATTTTGGGTCAAGTCAATGATCAAAAACGCTCCAAAGCACCAAAAATTAACTTGCAGACAACCCCTTGCTTCCAGCCTATATGGCCGGTCGCAACGAAATCTTCACTTATCGATCCGCCATGGCCGGTAACTTATGCTTTCCAGAAGGTGGTAACCTTGTCCCAAGTCAAAGGTTACCAAAAATGCTCAAAACCGACCAGCATCACGTCGGTAACCCCATGCAGATCGACCCAAACAGCCCAGCCGACAACCCAGTCCGGATCTGATCTAAGATTACCGTATTTTGGAAAAGATAGAAAAGTGACTAAGACACGACCAATGGAAAACTTTTTGTGGTGATATATTTCTTAGGCTCGGAACATAGGGTCGTGTACAGACAATTTAGGTAGAACCGGGCGTGTTTTTTGCGACATTCGACCTGATCTTAAGTCATTATGTTTTTCAACGGGGACGGTCATGACGTTTCGGGTCAAATAAGGTCAACAAGGTCAAATTCCAGATTGGTCTCACAACAGCCCCTAGAACCTAGGGCAACTGTTCTAAGAAAAATGTCACACGCACAGTTAAGGGTCAGTCGACCTTGTTTGACCTTTCGACACGCGCCCGGGTGGCCGGTTGGATACCCTTCGCTCGGGTAGAGGGGTCAATTTGACCCCCTGAGATCCCGGGACCTAAGAGAGCTAGAGAGATCAAATTTACAGGGTGTGTTGACCTGTACGTGAACTCACATAGGTCAAAGTTTGAAGTTTCTAGGTCATGATCTTCAGAGTAAGACAAGGTCAAACAAGGTCAAGTTCCAGATTGGTCTCCAAAGGGCGCCTAGAACCTAGGCAACTGTTCTAAGCAAAATGTCATAGCGCTCAGCTGAGGTCAGCGATCTTATTTGACCTTTTGAAGGTCATGGTGACCAAACTGATAGTAATGCTTTTTAGTTTTGCTTTCGGATAAGCGACAAAGATTACGCTTGGCAGTGTATTCTTAAAAACAAAATGTTGACTGGGTGATTTTAGGTCAGCGACCTATTCTGACCAATGAGAAGTCCATGGTAGGATTATAATTCGGTTCCTGCTATCAATGTTCAAAATAAGCACCAGAAACCAGCCGATACGGCAAGCCCAGGAATAATAAAACAGGTTGGTTTTGACCTTGGTCTGACCCTCATACCTGACTCTAGGTCCATGTATTTTATTTATTCAATCGTCGTATTGCCTAAGAGAGTGTCTCAGAGATGTGTGGCTCCGTCTAGCACTCCGTTGTTTGATCAGATTGAACGATTGCCTGGAGAGTGCCTTCGCTGAAACCATGGCCTGATTTTGACCTGCCGTAGGTCAGTGACCTACAAGGTACATCTAAATTTGTGGTGTTGGACGATCCGCTATTCAATTGTCTACGGCTTTGAAAAATTCGACGCGGCTACGCTGCGTCGTTGGGAAACCATTCCGGGAAAAACCTTTGGGGGAGGGTCAGTTTGACCCCCCATCCGAGCGCGTGTTCATCCTCGCGTAGAAAATGCGATATCGGTCTCATTTTCCGCGCGTTATGCTGCGAACAGCGCAAAAGTCGGTATCCTTCCTCATTATATTTGAACGATATGCGATCTATCGGGATCAACAGCTCATTAGGCGAACCTAGCGCGTTCCATCATCAGTCTCAAGTGGAAAGATACCTGATATCCGTGATCATGCGTGCTGTGTCCATCTAGTCGCTACGCCAGTAGACAGGGTCGCCTGGTCGTAAAAGATTGACGAAAAGTTCCTCAGACGTCGCATTTCCTCTGCGGTGTTCTGAACACAGAAGAACGTTCGCACGTTATCCTCATTACACTCAACCTAAATGTATCCTTCCTTGAATGGGTACACAGCCGTGGATGGTACTCTAGCGGCGGCCTGAAAAACTAACAACATCGCGATCGCTCACCAGACACGGCAGCCGTCCACGGGGTTCATGCGCGAGCCGGCCGGGCACTGCCAGTCACGCGCGAACTGTTCGGTGTTTTTGATCGCCGTGTTCATACGCACAAACGAGGGCGCGTGGTTGCTGGAGCGCATCACCTGCCGGAGCCCTTCCTCCCTGTAGACGGCGCACCAGGTGTTGACGGTACCCAGCCAGAACATCTGCTCGCTGGTGTACTGCTGCAGGCCGGGCAGCGCCGGCTCGCGCCCCTTCACTGCTCTGGTAGCGGTCGTAGGCGCGGCGCGCCATACGTATGCCGCCGTTGTCGGCGATGTTCTCGCCCTGGGTTAGGATGCCGTTTACCTGCGTCGGGCACATAGTTCGCGGTCACGAAAGCACACGTTTGTGTCGTACTTGGATGGGAAGCAGGCAACATTGGCGTTAGTTCAGACGATCAGCCTTTTGGCGATGTGATGTCCAGCGTAGATATAGTTTAATATTAAAAATTTATTTGTATTATTTGCGATACTGATACATATACATACAAATTAATATATATATATATATATATATATATATAATACGTCATGTATAGATCTATAAACATGCATATAGGTATATACTGGTAATTTATTGCCAAAAAATCTTCAAGTCGCGTTGCGTCGTTGTGATATGAACTTCATTACGATTTTACGGGTGATTCAAACTGTGTAGTGTTGCAAGGACGCGTTTTTCGTTCTTAAGGCTCTTAAAATGGCAACGTTAAGTTTGCATGAGGCGCTTATTTTCCCCGTTACTCATTCACAGAGCACCAGGAGTGTGGCGGAAACACACAGGTAAACATAATAAGAAAAAAGGGAAGCTGCGAAAACCAGCAGCAAATCATGCTGGTCTTCGACAGAACAAGCAACGGAAGCCAATGGTGTTCGTAGGCAAAGGACAGCATGGGCTGTCCGCTACTCTTGCCATTGATACAAGCAACTCACTCGCACAATATCAGTCATATCACATTCACGCGTGCTGCGAAGAGCATGGTCTAACTCGGGGGACCCAGGGTCTAAGGCTTAACATGATCACACACGAACAACCACACCTACGCGGTCATTGTACCGCGGGCACACCTGTGGATGCTCCCCGGCAGCTCCCACATCGGTATGGGAGCTCAGGGCTGCAACTACGACCAAAGGGCCCACCGCGCGACACCCACGCCAGCCCACACGTGCCTGCATGTTGACCCTGTCGACGGTGATGTTGCCGTACTGATCGATGATGCATTGGACGCTGTCCAGGAAGCGGGCTGCGCGTCTCCGGCTCCCACCATTCCTGGAGCTTGCCTCGGCGGTTAAACTGGCGGCCCTGTCGCGCGGAGAGATGTCAGTGCTGAACTCGCGGTGCCATTAGCGCGGGTTCACCGGAATTCGCGCTCAGCTGTGCGGCATACTTTTAAATGACCCATTTAAAACACAGATGAGTGGGTGCGGAAATAAAAAAAAAAACGACCGACTTTAAGGGGAGCAAAAATGATTCAGCACCTTGTAGGGTGAGGAGTGCAGGCAGCCCACTTTCCAGTTTATTGCGTTCCAGAAATATTCATCAACGGAAGTAAGCCAATCACTGACAGAGCGAGGGGATGACCAAAAAGAACGAAACAGACGTCATCGGTTTCGTTGACAACGTTAAGTAGGCAAGCAATATCCGTGGATCATTCAATTGCTTTTGGCACGATGACAACCAGTGGTAAGACTGGCGCGTAATAGGGAGCTATTGATTTCGATACCTCACTTCGTAAAGCGCCATGGATGACCACTATATCAGTTCTGCATTGGACTTTTCAAAGATACATACAGTGAGTAGTGCTGGGATCCTATGTCATGCAAAAATTGTTTTAAGAAAATGCACGAGAGGCTTACACTCTTTTTCACAAATAGGCTAACGTGGACAGGTCTAAGGATTTGTTTTGGGAGCAGAGTAGGGTCTTACAGTTACCGCTACATTACGAGTTTCCACGAATCCCGTTGTGTAAAAGGTAGTGCTCAAAATCCGGGAATCAACGCGAGAGTCCTTTTCCATACGGACTATGCTGACTGCAGGTGGCTTTCAAAAACTTGAACATCGCGCGCATACTTGCCTTGTCGTCGAACAAGTGGGTTATTTCGTGACCGATCAAGAATCCGATGGCTCCGTAGTTCATGTACTTAGGCCTGTCATTGCTGTAGAAAGTGCCTTGTAAAATACCCGCGGGGAACGCTGCAACGCCAGAAATAGTTTGCAGGCGTTAAAATCCCATTAGATATAAGACAAACGGACCACGGCTATCAAACCGGTATTTCCTTGCCCTACTTACTGAAATAGCAGGTCTTTCAATGTTAGAATTTGTAATAATGTTAGTGCCGACAGCATTGGGAACCCCAGTACGCCATAACACGTCTTGCCAAGCAGGTCCAGAGGAGTAGCTTTCCATACTCATAGGACGTGTGTCATATTACAAGGGATTTCAAACCAACTTGGTTTTAAGCGTTATCCCACTGTTCAGTGGGGAATGCATTCACATACATATTAACGGTCAAAGTAAAGCGGAGGAAACACCAATAGTAAAATGACCCTCGTCGCCAACACCATACAAATTCAAAGACGCCAAGACCTGCTGCAGCTGAGGTGAGGTTGAAAGCTGGCCAGCGTCGTGCCGAGTGAACACCACTCACTGATGCCGTTCGTCGATTTCGCAAAGGCGTTGACAGCTGTGATTTCGCCGAATTCTCGCCAGTCGTTCTTGTCGGCGTGCTCACGTAGTTTGCTGTAGAAGTAGTTGGTGTTGAAAATGTTATTGTTCAGCATGTTTTGGAAGAAGTCGTCGTCGGTGAGCTGTAGATCTTCGTAGAGCTCGCTTACCATCGTGTCGTTAAGCAGTTCGTCTGGGTAAGCTATGTAATAGGTCATGGCCTTCGATTTCTGAATTGCTCGCTGCCTGCGGAAGGACAACATATCAGGTGTATGTGAATGTCTGCAAACACCGTAGAGTCTTTAGCATCGATTTCTATTGGCTGAGCCTTTTCCGCGTGACTGCATGGGAATGTTTCTGTTATCAGCGACGATCAAGCATTTGTACCGGAACGCGACCGAACCCCAGCTACTCCAAGTGGCGTATTTGTGCTCCAATTCCAAATCGAGCTTACACATTACATAATTTCTTTAATTTTACGTTTTCGGGCTTACCTTGGCCTGAAAACGTAAAATCAAGGAAATTAATGAACTGGTATCAAAATCAAAAGCACTTATGTAGCCAACATTGGAAAATTACTGCTGCCCCGCTCTGGAACATAGAACCCACGTCTCGTGAGCCATGAGGGGCATGCATTTACCATCTTCATGTTTTGTAAAGGAGTGTTATTTCGCTCTACGAAGTGAAGTGCCGATACCTCGTGATACGGTCTATCCAGGCAGCCTCCAGCAGCATCGCATCGAACTCCTTGTGTATATCAGACACCAGCTTCAGGACCGCCGTCTTCGAGTCTTGGTCGAAGTGATTTTTCACGTACAGTGATCCTACTGGGATTCCAAAGCTGCAAACATGGGGGTCTTTCACATTCAAACCACAACAAATCGTATTCGCGTGTCTTTGGTAGTCCAATGACTGTGCTGGGACTAATGCGAACATGTGTACGCACATTCTTTCGGAGCAGCATTGAAGACCAAAGCGAAGGTCCCTGCGTCGTGCTCACCGGTGCATGATGTCGTCGAGGCACTGCTTCCAGCGGGGCCCGTGCTCGGTGGTGCCGTACACCTGACCGAAGAGCTTGAGGCGCGCGTCACGGGAGGCCAGGTTCAGCTGGCTCACGGACGCCTCCACCACACGCCAAAGAAGGTAGTTGGCCTGTACTCTGTTGGTGAAAGGAGCGCGCGGTGGAGGACAGCGAGGATGGGCGGGCTCTCTGAGAGGGCAGCGAAGACGAGCGGGCTCTCCCCCACGTAAACAAGGCCGCTCATTTCTCCGATACAACATGTAACTATGTTGTACAATTCGCAATACAGCCTTACACACATAAATCACAGAGTTGCAGCGCACACTCACGCACACACCCGTTGTCGTGCCCGCCTGAACAGGCATGGCGCAGCCTGTGAACAAAATCAGTAGAGCGTGAAAGGACCCGATATATCCCATATCCTTATATTTACCAGGCATGTCGACAATTTGTGTTCAACACGAGAAGCTCCGATGCTATGATGACTTGTAGAATTGGGTGCGAGATTTGCCTCTTACCTCTTCGGCGTTGTCTTCAGCAGCGAGGCCAGGTCCTTAAAGAACTCTGGGTGGGCGACCCAGACGGACTCGCTACTCGAAACCTGTCAGCATATGCGCAGCTCGTCTGTGCACCAGATGCTCAGCCGGTAAATATGGAGGACTACAGCACCAGCCCTCGACGGGTCTGCCTGAGCCAACACTTTGTCTCGTTAGGTATTTAACTGTCGGCCGACAAACAGAAAGCTGAAACAAATAAACCCCATGACAGAAAGGAGGTTAATTTCATCTCTGGGGTAGCATCAGGGGACCACTACCTGACCGTCGTGAGTTAGTGATGTGGGAGACGCGAACTCGAGCGTCGCACTCTCGGCAAGATGCAGTTACCGGCCTGGTCGAACAGGGACAGTGTCAAAACAATGCTAACGTGGCTAGTATGTATAAGCCGTAGACCGATGACCGGCCTGTGTTCATGGTGAATATGGCTTTCTATGGATTTTTAAAAAAGCCACAATGCGACTCTCAATCGTCATCTTAATCCGGTTCTCAAAATTATATGAACTGTTTGAGAAAAGGAAAACAATGTTGAGATCTACGGAGGCACCCAGAAACACTCTGTGTGCTGTGTTGCTTTCTTCCATACAGTCCTGTCTGTTGTTGGCATCGCTTGGCGTACCTGGTGTCCGACGTCTTCCAATAGTTTATTGGCGTAGGTCACCCAGGGAATGGTAGGTGCCAACAGGCTCAACTCGTCGAGAGTCATCTTGTGGTAAAGTTTGAAAACGTCGCGAAGTTCCTCTTTCGCCAGCGACATCTGTTGGCAGGATGGTGAGCGGAGACCCGTTGACAAGTTGGCATGCAACTTTTTCGTGCCGTCTCACATAAGTCGGTCATCATAACTGTTGTGAGAACCACTTCTTTAACACATGTAAGCAGCAACAAAACATGCACGGAACATTGCTGAAAGACTCCCCAAATTTGTGATCTCACGTTGGCGAGCTGCATTTCAAAGTGAAGCGCAGCTTCCATGTCTTGTTTGGCGATGCCTGGTTCGGCTCCCAGCAGAACGGCCATGTCTACCATGTAGCCGTAGTAGGCCTGCACATCTGAGTCATTGAAACCTGCGAGAAAGCCAGGCATGCAGTCATGCGTTTTCTCGGGGAGAATTCAGCGAAAATTTCGTGATACTGACCACAAAGGCTTGATTCCAACTACACCATATTGCGTCGCTGCAAACAAGCCTCACGGATCGTGGTCCACGCAATTTAGACAAACGGCGCCGCAACACGACATCGCGTGCTTTTGCACTTACCTCTGATGAGCGATGCCCTTTCGAGGCCCAAAGCCGGGTCAAAAAGGCTGATGATGTTCCTTGTGGGGTCTTTTAAGTCGTGTAGGATGCCAAACCAAAATATGTCATTCTGTGAGTACCCCAACTTCCGGTTCCGATACACGGCCTCCGTCCAATGGAAGGCAGCATCGTCCCATGCCGAACCTGCAAGGGATAGTCAGACGAGAGTTAACCCCTGCCCGTGAAACGCGTGTTGCAGCAAGAATCTGCGCAGCTACGGATTCTTGTTACAATGCAACATGAGGTCGAAATTTTGCTTCTTTTAGCTATGTATATTTATATATTTGTTGTGCACTCAAATATATGACATGTGACGTCACTACTCAAGGGAAACCTGTCATCGGGCGGGTTTCCCTGCCATCAGACCATACCAGGGGCGCAGCCAGAGCTTTGATAAAGGGGGGAGGCACAGAGTTGACAGCATGCCTCTGATGGTGAAGCCCCTCCCCTCGAAAAATATTACTGGATAGGGCCCACTTGATTTCAATGGTGGCAAGATTTTCTTTTTGTTTGTCTGTCTGTCTGCATGTCTGCATGTTTTACCTTCCTTAACCTGGCCCGGCCGGAGGCCTGAGACAACTGCGCCCGGTCGAGGAAAGTTGACTTCCCCCGAGATCCCCTGCTTCCAGACGTTGTACGAGAAAAAATGCCGTTGTTGTTTACCTTAGTTTGAATATGAAACCGCAAGAGGTCACGAAGGTCGAAAACAATTATTCTGATAGATGCAGTTAAGACGTATGTTAACGCGCATCCAGGTGACCGGTTGATTACATTTTGCTTGGGTGGGGGTCAGTTTGATCCCACTGGGATTTACGAAACTAAGATAGCTGGAGTAACCAAGTGCTCAGGATTGATTGGCCTTCGCGTCAAATCACTTGTGTCAAACTTTGAAGCTCCTAGGTTATGATCTTGGGATCAAATAGGGTCAAAGGTCTAGGTCAAACTCCAGATTGGCGTCTCAAGTACAACTGAACCTCCTCATGCAACCGCCGTGAAACCAGATACCTGTTCTAAGCAAAAGGCCAATGAGCTCAGTGATCTCGTTTGAACTTTATAAGGCCTATGTGGTCAAATGCCTACGAGATTGCTCCCAATTTGCCGTTCGAATAAGCAGCAGGGATCGCGCTAAGTGGTATGCTCTAAAAAAAACTATTGACCTGCGTCATTTTAAGCAAGTGGCCAACGTTGGCCTTCATAAAGTCCATCGAGCGTGTGTTTTAAGGTCCCTGCGATAAATAAAGTCAAAATAAGCATCAGAAACTGCCCCATAAAACTAAGCTCTCGAGGAAAACAGCAGGTTAGTTTTGACCTTGTTTTGACTTTCATACCTGACTTAAGGTAAAGTAGATTAGCTGTAACTCTAAATCCAACTAACTTACTGCCAACCAAACTATCTCAGATATGTGTGGTTTCGTCTAACACTCCGTGTTGCCTAACATGAAACGATTCTCTGAAAATGCCCTTCACTGATAGCCATGGCCTGACTTAAGTCTGCCATAGGTCAGCGACCGTAGAAGGTACATCTACTAGTAAGATCCGCTATTCAATTTTCGACAGTCATGCTAAATTTCTCGCGGCTATACCGCTCCGTTTGGAAACCATTCTGGAAAACCTTTGGAGGCGTCAGTTTGATCCCCCGCCCCGAGCGTGTGTTCTAACATCAAGACGGATGTTGAGAATACAGAAAAAATCGCTAAAAAACTGTGAAGGGAGTCCTTCCCGATCACTTCTCTTTTCCACCAGGGTCCGGTTAGGTCACGTCACCGTTCAAGGGTGGTCTACCAGTAGCATACAACAACAATGTTTCCTTGCTTACGTTCACAATTTGCTTTTAAGTTGATTTACCAGGCGGATCTATGAGGCAAAATTACCACGGACGTAAAAATACAATGTTAGGCTGGCCTAGAGATCAGATGAGGTAAGCTTAGGTCAAATTTATGGACTATCCAAGTGACAAAATTTGAAGTGCTAACCGGGACTAAGTGATCAATACAACGCTTTTCTGTGGCTTGAAATGGAGTGTTGTACATCTTAAAGTACTGAATATTGTGTAGAGGTTATATATCTTATGCAAAGTCCGCCGGACACTTGTTGGTGCATTTGTAACAAACTGAGAGCAAGTATGTTGGTATATGAAAATAAGACGCCATCAGCTTCACAAACACGATAAGGAGGTGGTTACACCTGACCCTGAATACGACCTCCGGCCAGCCTTTCGGGCCCTCAAACCAGGTCCTAAGGGGCAGACACGTGCCCTCTGTGCCCCCTCCTTGCCTGCGGCACTGCGCCGTTCACTTGATGTCGCTCATTACCAAGATGAACTATGAAAATGTCTAGCGTTAATGTTAGGTTCAAATAGTACGGACCCTTATCATATCCATGACAGTGGTAAGTTGCATGTCTGATTGTAAAATAAGCGCTGCTTATAGTGGGGCTCATGGACATTATGACGGTGACCTGAACGTGTCTCTATATTTGCCTCAGGTTTAACGTTTCATTTTTGTCATATCGGCTCATTTACTGCACTCCCCAATCGACCTCGTACGTACCTTAGTATCCAGCCAAGGTGTCAGACGCTCATTTGCGTCTTTCTGCGTCCCCCACTACTAACCTTTGCTCTCGTGATGACCCGAGGCACCGAGGTCAGCGATGGCGGGTGAGGCCGCTTTGAAAATATAAATTTGGCGACGCAACACCTGGCATGCGGTTGGACCCGATCGCAGATGGCTGTGATATGGTGACAGCGGTGGGATTGTCATTCGGCCGGTGATTCTGGACAACGATCATCTGTCGTTACCTTAATCTCCCACCTAGCCCCTCGGTGAGGATCCCACAGGCCACAAACTTTTGGGAGTGGGAAGTCTACCGCCGCAACCGGTGGGTGTCATCAACCAGGCTCAGAGCTGCGGATGCAAAGCGCATTATCGACCCGACTGGCCCATGGAGCGCCAATATCAGGCCGTCCAAAGCTGGCCTTGCCGTGGCTTTGGTCACTGCCCAAAGGGACTAACGGGCCACCCGGCGATCGGGAGGAGAACCTCACAACACCTCGAGTAGCGGTTGGCGGATCCATAGACGCCTTATTGACTTAGCAGTCTAGTGTATCTAGCATACAGTCGTGTTGTCGATGCGATTTCTCAAAGCCCGCCTTTGACGGTGCGATTTCTCAAAGTCCGTCTTTGACGCCGTCTGTCCGTCTAGTTTCCGCCGCTGGGCACACTTGGAACATTCTGGGTGTTTGTTGGCTTCAAGTGGAGATGGTAAGGACCGATGCAGGGGCCGGTGAAGTGGAGTTCGTAGTAGTTGATAATTTGATGCACAATGCAGTCTTGGACTGGGATTTTGTTGCAAAAAACCTGCACAGCTGATCTCCAGATCGTGAAAGGAAATGAAAACTGAAATCAGAGAGCTCCTTGCCAGTGCTGCCGGACGCTGTTGTTTACGGAGCTATGAAGGCTGACCGGCGGCTGTGGTGTGAGTTTGAGTATCTGTTGTTTGAACAGCGCTCAACCTATGTGGAAATATGTAGTTGCCTGGTAACACTATCCTCCGAAACAGAGACCCTACCGTATGTACCGTACGCTACCTTTGTATGTCCGCAATTGTTCTGACCGGAACATCATCCTGCAAAGACCCAGGGTTATTAAACACGCTGAACCAATCGCCCGTGTCCAGTGTTGCGAACCTCAGCTTGCGTTGGGTGTTGGCAACGGTGCGGTCGCTCAGGCGGACGCGGTGGCTTCTGACGATGTGCGATACCTAGGCAAGCAACTGATAGGAGTCTTGCTGGTATCTTGGTGGGCGATTCTGTCCCTGGTCCACAGCGTGACTCGTTGGCTGTCCTGCTAGCTGCGATCCCTGCAGTGTTTTCAGCGGGTTTTTCAGATATTAAACTTTTTCATCGGAAGGCCTTGTTCTTGCATTACAACCAGGGTCGTGCCATTAATTCACTAGCCACTATTTCATTCCATGGGGCGTGAGGCCGAATTGCAGGTTCTGTTAGATGAGTTGTGGAGGTGCTAAAATGTGGAGGTGGGGAACGACCAGACAGCTTGACAACTTGGTGGCAACTTGGCCAATAGGAATACAGCCAGTGGCAAGGGTACTGAATGAATTTGAACGAATGTCTGAATCTGACTGACGACCCTAACCCTGACTACCCTGAATCTGACGTAATTGTTTTGTAACACAACGAATCTACCAACTATTGTGACCACCTGGATGTCCTGAAATTTCCTTGCGTGTGGACTTGGAGCACATACAGGCACCAAAACAACTGCAGGAATGTTCCAGCACTTTTTCTCTTCCACCTGCGCGCTGTTCATTACTCTTCAAACAAACTCAGGTGGCGTGTTTCTTAGAAATTTCAGGGAGATTGGACAGCGTGGTAATCAACTGGTGAATCCTAACAGTTGGTTTGCCAAATGTGCCCGGCAATCGAATTCACCGTTTATCGGTGGCTCAAGTCTCGACTTCAAGTCAAAATTCAGGTTGGTCTCAAAGTGCCCCAGAATGTAGATGGCTGTTTCTAAGCAAAAGGTCACATGCTCATTTCAGGTCGGTGACTTCGTTTGACCTTTTTAAGGTCATGGTGACCAAAATCATACAAGACTGCTCTGTTCTGCTGTTCTGTTCTCAAGAGTTCTGCATTTGAATAAGCGACAGAGATTACGCTACGCAGTATGTTTCGAACAAACAAAAAATGCTGAACCGGGTCATTTTAAATCAATGGCCTAATCTGACATCTAACAAGTCGATGGAAGACGTATAATGCGGTTCCTGCTATCAATAACTTCGAAATGAGCACCAGAAACTATACCATACAGCAAGCCCTAGAGTAATAAAACAGGCTGGTTTTGACCTTGGTCTGACATTCATGCCTGACCTTGGGTCGACATGATTTGCTCATTTAATATGTGTGTTGCCTGAGAAAGCATCAGAGATGTTGCCTCAAACATGTATGTCTTTGTATGACACTCCGTTGTTGCATCAGATTAAACGATTCCCTAGAAATTGACTTCGCTGAAACCATGACCTGACTTTGACCTGCCATAGGTCAGCGACCTTACAAGGTACATCTAAATTGTTTAAACCAAACTATTTGATATTCAATTTTCTACAGCCAGGCAAAATTTGGCGCGGCTGCGCCGCGCCGTTCGGAAACCATTCCGGGAAAACCTCCGGGGGGGGGGGGGGGGGGGTCAAGTTAACTCCCCACCCGGGCACGTGTTAAGCCTTTGAAATTTGCAATCGTATTCGATCAGTGGAGACCAGGTCTGAATGCGTCATAAACTGATGTGTTGCCGATGCTCCATTGATTCCTACATGTTGAAGGAAATGTTCTACATTTGAAGGAATTGAGGCATCCCCAGATATCATGGAAAAGCTCACTTGCAACTACTGGCATGCTCTAAGTGTAGAACACTGTCCTAGATAGCAAAAGTCCAGTATTTAGTGCATATACTCCTCACCGCGTCATCATTTGATTATGTCATGGAAGGTAATTTCGAAGTCAGAGTCGTTGCCAGCCCGCCTGTGTCAAAATTGCCACAGTAGCGGATGGGCTGGCCGCTTGCAGTACTTCAACTCGCTGCAACGAGGCTTATTAATTTATGCGTGTGAGATAGCCCCGACGTCTGTTGAGTGCGCGTGTTTTGACCCTTCTCACGGCGCTGTATACTTTTCCTTGATAACACATGTCTTTCTTGTAATTGCATTTTCGGTTAAGGTGCTTTTCTTAAGTTATTCGATTACCAGTCCCGTGTCTGACACAAGCCGGACTGCCAAATGCCGGTACAATCAATCACACAACGCGGTTCGTGGTCGAAGCTTGTACTCAACGCGATAAGCGGGATGGAAGCCAGCTGCTGTCTGTTGATGCGGTGTTCGTGCTGGTGTACTCCAGACATGAATAGGTCAGTGGCCATGTTTGTCTTGACCTTGAACACGGTATGACCATTGAGGAGACGCAATTTTCATAAAAACGTGTTTATGACGTCACATCTCTCTTGGTGGCCTTGAAGTAGGCGTTCTGAGAAAGTCTGCACAAGTTCGTGTGTGCCAAGCTCGGAAATAGGAGGACTTTAAGTCATATAAAGAGGTACTTTAACAGCAAATAATTCACAGTAATAGGCAGATAAATGTGTATGAATTGCTTAGTTCTGGGGCTGCCACTGTTCGGCTATCTCACCGTTTAGCACAGGCCATCCTCCCATCTTGGCCAAGATGTCGTGAAGTGGCTGCAGGCCTCGCTTTTCGATGGTCTCTGCCCAAAAAAACTAAACCTTAGAAAAGCGTAGTGAGAAACACTGCGACCACCGTTTGTTAGACATAGCAGCGCCACGCATCACACACATAGGTTTATAGCTTTGACAACTTCGGGAGAACACTTGACAGACAAAAAAAGCTAACGATTTTTGCACTGGTTGATTACACCTTCGATGGATACGTCTCACAAGTCATTTAATTCTACAAAAAGTTCATCCCACTTAAAGGATAAATCTAAAGCATGTTGCACATAACAATACGTTGAAATCACCACACGGGATGTCTTGCTTACGGGAATTCAGTCGAATGACAGTCTCTGCCAGCCCAACTGATTAAAGACATGGGCCATTGAATATGGCCTACCTTTATTCATGCAGCTGTTGAAGTATTTCTTAAGCAGGACCGTGGCTGAAGTGTCATCAGTTGAGATTGGCGTGTCGATCAGCTTCCTCATTTTGATCTCGATTTCGTTGCCCAAGAGGTAGAAGCTCGTGACGGACGACCTCTCGTCCGGAATGACTGTGCGCTCGGTGAACGCGCCACACGCGAAGGCGTAGAAGTCGTCGCACGGGTCCACATTGGTGTCCATGTCGTTCAGCAAGTTGTATGCTGTAGCGGTCAAACGTTGCCATGATGTCATTTCTTCTCTATGTTACCGTGCGCGCCAGGAGATGTTCGTTTTACCCTTCAACCCTAAAGATGTTGCAAGGCTTATTGGAAATCTAAAAGAAATAAGAAACCCTAAAGATTATTGGGCAGTGGTTTTAATAATGTTTCTAAGATACAATTTAAAGCAATTGTTTGACGCGGAAGAGGTGCCGGATAATTGGAGAGCAGCGTTCGTGTGTCGTGTGTAGCTGAGGAGGCCTCAATAAATCCTGTAACTGTAGATCAATATCAATCACGTGCATTTGCTTGAAACTTATAGGAAGGAATCTGGTACATTCAATAGTGTCGCATTTGGAGTAACATATACTAGTAGTTGACATAAAGCCTGGTTTTAAACGAAATTTATCATGTAAAGCACAGTTGAATGATGCTGATGAGTGATATACGGTAAGTGTTGAGGGAGATAAAAAGTACTGACCTAGCTTTCCGTGGTTTTAGTAAAGCTTCCGACATAGTGTCCCATTAAGATCTGATTAACTTTACATCACGAGCAATTTAGAGCATCGATTACGTTTATCATGGGTGGTCTCAGAATAAGAAAAGCAGGGAATTGTTTAATTTGTTACCATATAATTGGGAGGGCTACAGGAAGGAAAACTGCAATTTGGTCATCGATGATTCCAATGTCGGCTAATGTAGTTACTGGTATTTACATATACCAAACCATGATGTCCATTTTAGCGTCATAAAAATGGTACAAATGCTTGTGTGTAGGCGTAAACCATGCCACGTTGTCGCAGCGTGAAAAGGTACTGTCTGGAAAATAGAATGTAAGAAATAAATGAGAAACGTGTGGTGTCTTTATAAGGGACCCGAACTGAAAGGGATTTTTTGTCAGACTTCACCTCTAGCACGCGCCCGGGTGGCCGGTTGGATGCCCTTCGCTCGGGTGGAAGGGTCAATTTGATCCCCCTGAGACTAAGAGAGCTAGAGACACTAAATTCACAGGGCGCGTTGACCTGTACTTGAACTCACTTTGGTCAAAGTTTGAGGTTCCTAGATGATGGTTTTCGGGTCAAATGAGATTAAACAAGGCCAAATTCCAGGTTGGTTTCCAAAGGGGCCCTAGAACCTAGTTAACTGTTCTAAGCAAAAGTCACATGCTCATCTAAGGTTAGTGCCCTTGTTTAACCTTTTGAAGGTCATGTTGACCAATATCAGACAAAACTGCTTTGAGTTTTGCATTTGCATAAACGACAAAGACTACGCTAGGCAGTATGCTCCTAAAAAACAAAATGCTGACCTGGGTCATTCAAGGTCAGTGACCTTTAATAACCTTTAAGAAGTCTGTTGCAGATGTATAATGCGGTTCCTGTTATCAGCCAATTCGAAATGACCACCAAAACTACCCCATGCAGCAGGCCCTAAAGTAATAAATCAGATTACTTTCGACCTTGGTCTGACCTGAAGACATGACTTTAGGTCAATGTAATTTGTGCATTCAATTGTTGTGTTTCCTGAGAAAGTATCGCAAAGATGTATGGCTTCGTCTAACACTCCGTTATTGCATCAGAGTGAACGATCTCCTAGAAACTGCCTTCGCTGAAACGATGACCTGACTTTGACTTGCCATAGCTCAGCGATCGTACAAGATGCATCTAAACTGCTAATGCCAGACGATCTGCTATTCAATTATGTACAGCTCTGCAACGTTTGGCGCGACAGTGCTACACCGTTCGGAAGTCATTCCGGAAAAACCTTCGGGGGTCAATTTGACCCCCACCCGAGCGCATGCTACAAACTTTCACCTCAGCTCAACTGGTTTTAAAACGAAAATGTGCCCGCGCTCTGTTCTGCCGCTGGCTGCGTACATTGTATACACAAACAATGCACATCGCATGATTGGATGAAGTGCGATGGGCACTAATCATTACAAAACCGCCACTGATCATAAGCAACGTTGATTAAAAGTACACAGTTCGACGATGACTCCCCGATACTCTCGTGTAAATTTGAGAAAGCATTAGCCTAGGCATGCAGCTCTCCCAGAGCACAGTGACCCCCGATCGCACGCCCCAGGTCGCCCCAGCGGCCGTTACCGGCTGTGACGCAGCCCTTGCTGAGGCAGAGCGTGGGTGGCCGCTGGGCTTGATCTCCGTCCGCTGGGGTGGCGACATGTCTCTGCAGCCGCGGCCGGGCCTCTGCGGGGGGCACATCCGAGAGACGGTCAGTGCCGACAGCTGGAACACCCGATCGAAGAGGCACGGGCAGAACAGCCTGGCCTGAGTGTTAAGGTACGCCACACGCTCCAGTTGATATTACAACTTGAATATCACATTACACGATGATACAAGCCAATACTCACAGGATTGCGCGGATTCCCTTTGATCAGGTAAGGTTTCAGGCGAAAAGCTGAGGGAAACGATAAAAAATGGAAGCACTCGGAAATTGGAGGGCTGAGTTTAGTTGGTGACTTTTTCCGATTTGCGCCGCGCTCAGAAACGTTTGCGAACCCGGCATCTCTAATATCACCCCACCTACTCATCTACCCATATATTTACCGATTGGTGCCCACGCCAAGCGCGCTCGTAAAACGAGGACTCTCACGCATTCCAAGTGCAGATCCTGCGAATCCGGCTGCAAGAAGGCCACCTCCAAGAGCCACCAGGGTCACCACGATCACCACCGGAGTTCGGCGACACCACGGGCGACGGGCGACGGCCGCCATCGGTCTTGACCTTTCGGTACAAACCATCGCACATTAGCGATGTCGAGTGACGTCAGTGTCTGAGTGAGACCGCTTACTCGACGCTCCACAGCGTGCAGATTTTACACTGCGTTCTGCAGCAGCCGAGGGCTGTCATAAATATCAATGAAGTGTAAACATGGCGCAGCAAGCTGGGGCAGCAGCCGGCCAGTGGTCGAGGGACGCATCGACTTGCCACGCGCTGGCCTGCTCTCGGACGGGCGACGGGCTTGCGCGGGTCTGCCCTCGGAATGGCGCGATAGGGAACGGGGCCTGAACAGAAAATTGTAAACTTGACCTAGGAGACGCGGAGGGATTTAGTGATGGTCGTACGACGATCGATAGATCGTGATGTAACGATCTCGAAACGTTAGAATGTAAGGAGCGATGAATATATGAGTAATTTTGCGCGAATCATCTTTAATCTAAGCGATGATGCCAGGTCAAAGGCCCGTAAAATTGAACGATGCGCCAAAAAACTCGTCCATGCTGAGTCAGCAGATATGCTTAATCACACACACACACACACACACACACACACACACACACACACACACACACACACACACACACACACACACACACACACACACACACACACACACACACACACACACACACACACACACACACACACACACACACACACACACACACACACACACACACACACACACACACACACACACACACACACACACACACACACACACACACACACACACACACACACACACACACCACACACACACACACACACACACACACACACACACACACACACACACACACACACACACACACACACACACACACACACACACACACACACACACACACACACACACACACACACACACACACACACACACACACACACACACACACACACACACACACACACACACACACACACACACACACACACACACACACATATATATATATATATATAATATTATATATATATATATATATATATATATTATATATATATATGCAGTGCAATGTGCATGAGCATGTGTGTGCGTGCGCGTCTGCGTGTGCACACACACACACGCATACACACCTATATATATATATATATAGATATATATATATATATATATATATATATATATGCATGTGCAATGTGCAAATGAGCATGTGTGTGTGCGTGGGCGTCTGCGTGGGCGTGTGCGTGTGCGTGTGCGTGTGCGTGTGCGTGTGCGTGTGCGTGCGTGCGTGCGTGGTGTGTGTGTGTGTGTGTGTGTGTGTGTGTGTGTGTGTGTGTGTGTGTGTGTGTGTGTGTGTGTGTGTGTGTGTGTGTGTGTGTGTGTGTGTGTATGTGTGTGTGTGTGTTCCCAAAGGCGTGTTCAAGTTTTAAAAATGTAGGGCATAGGAACGTAGGTTGTGAGCTATGCTAGCACTATCTGGTGAGAGAATCGATAGTGTAGGGACAAATACCAACACGTAAAAGTGGCAGAAGGATCATTTGCATATTCGCGCAGAGACCCCTGCAGTAACAAGAGTAAAGTAAAATTCCGCTATCTGGCAGCAACGCACAACACGGTATTCGCCATTCCATATTTCACTTCTATGCGGTAAGCAACATTAACGGACTAAGTTAGAGCACACTCTATGACAAAAAGGAGACGGGCGGAGGAGCATTACAGCAAACGGAGGACTGCTACCAACAGCGGGCCGTCAGCTGATGGTTAAGGACATGGGACAAGCTCCACTTTCATGGTTCTACTCCCCGCCCTATGGAGAACGCGAGTGCCTACGGCACATGCCCGCTCATGTTACCAAGGCATCATGATTAGTTTACAGCGCACATCAGCATTGTAACAGGCTACCTACAACCCACTTAGGCTCCCCATTTTGTTTCTTCAATATGAGAGTGCCTATGCCAAAATGTGAGTATATCTGCTTGTGTCATAAGCAGGGCACCTCTCATTCGCTCCGCACACACATGCACCACAATCTAAAAGCCCGTTTGAATATTCGTGTGCTGCATTTGACACCTTTTGGATATGCCCATGGTTTCCAGAGTTTAAATTTCGTCAGTAGCATATAAATCTCGAAGTGACTATCGTTCGACTCGCGTCGGTCGCGTCTGTCTGGAAATAGCCGTCGTAGCTGTCTCGGAACAAAGTTACAAGTAAAGCTTGTTTGTAATTATTTCTGATGGCTTCCTATCACGATCTTTTGAACTCCAGGTTAGGGGAGGGGGGAATCTCCCAGCTTAGAACAGCGGCACATTTACCTTGTCCAGAACTAGAACAGGATTCCAATATGAAACGGACTTGAGTGATTTCCCTCTTCGATATGCACGGTCATTTCCAAACACAGCTTTTTTTAGAACGAAACGCAGCTCCTGGCGGTAAATCATTATAATCTTAAGATGTTATGGACTTCTCGAATATTTTAGGGTTATTGTTGAGCATTTGTACATCAACTGTGTTCCGAAAAGTCTAACGTCAAATACAACGCTGATCCATGGCGTGATCGTCACTTCACCTATTATTGCTATTTTTGCCATATAAAACAGTCACTTTTGCTGGCATAACCACAATGTTTTCAACATGCGCTCATTTACATAATTATTTTTTAGGCTGTTAATACAGGCGAAAAAAGATGCACTATTCGCAACATAGCGCGCTTGAAATCATTGTGGCAAACTGGAAGGTCGCCCATCTTTCTAACGAGTCGTCTGTCCAAGCCTGAATGGATGCAATAACAAGCCCCTTCGGCGACGGTATAAAAATGATAACCCAGCTGAAGGCTTTTAGCTACTTTTTTCTTTTTATCGTGCATAATAAGGAATGATGTTTTGCGGGCAAGAAAGCAACTCACATGATAATCAAATCGGTTTGAAGAAATCACTGGATTGCATGTGTGCGCCGAAATGACTTTGCACTTATAACTTTGATTGTGTTACACATATGTCTTCCACATTTCAGTTGAAGCATTCTGCCCACTTTGCGTACATTGCCGACTCGCTTATAAACCCGCCACTCGCTCCATTTCAGCTGTGGCTGACGGGTGTGAGTTGCTGTATGCTGTGCGGAAGTCACCATTTGCTGAGGCGTAAGATGAACACAGTCCGTCCGTGTACTAGTGGGCACCTCTTACAATATTCGCTCGTCGGGAGAGGTGAGCTCATACGCGCATCCCAAGATCAGGAGATCCTCAGCATACGAGCACGCAGCGGCTGTTGGTGCCGTACATCTCAAACGGGCCTGGCACGCCGTGAACGACGAAATGCGTCTGAGATACCAGCTGAGGCAATGAGTAAATGCCGCCGCACAGTTCACAGTGGCATCACATTCTATCTGGATTCCCGGCGGGCAAATAGAACGCTGACGTTGAAATCATAGGGTAACCCTGGAGCTGATCGACTGCTGACATGCAAAATTATATTACGAGGGCGTAGTTACCCATGACTTGAGGGAGGCTTAACAGTGAAAAATTACTTAGCATGCCCCCGAATTTGATAAAAACGGCTCCCCCCCCCCGTTTATCCACTTTCCTCTCAAAGCTGGGGGAGGGGGGGGGAACTGGAGCCCCTCTGGCTGAACAGGAAAGTACATGTCTGCCGCCTTACGCCACTGACTGGCACGTGTCCGTGCAGTGTCTGGTCCCACCTTGCGCAGGGGTGCGGGCTCGACGGGGCGGTGCACTGCTGATGGTGTTAGATTGCTTCTGGTTCTGGGCATGGTCGCCAGGCCTTATATATAGCCTTGGTCGGGTCTGGCCAGCAGGCGTCAAGTGGTCAGTGTGCCCCCCCCCCCCCCCCCCCTCCGCAGAGATGACCGTCACCAGGCCTAGCGTCCGATCCGGCCGGCTGAAAACCGCGCAATTGCCAGGCAAGTCGGCGGCGTGCAGGACTGGCCAGACGACGGTCTCGGATCACAGCGCGTTGGCCGAGGAGAGGGGAGGGGATGGGGCAAAGGGCGACACACCTCAGCACGATCAGGTTCGACTCTGACTCAAGTTACACGAGGATGGTGGTGGCATGACCCCAAGCAGGGCAGGTTGGTGGCCCGTTGTCTGGGAACTCGGTTCTAATGAACGATATAGTTCGGTGGCGAAGAACTGACATGCAGGTTATGACACGTCTGACACCTCTGTAACGTGAAAGCGTGTCGTGCACCTTTCTGGCTGCTCGATCGCAGATCACTTGTTTCAATGTCTAGCTGCCGCAGGCCTTCACTATGTGGGAGAGGCACAATGAATGCATGTACCCCACACGAACACATGGAAAGTCTCCTTTTGCGCGGCGCTTAGAAAAGGACGTGCCATACATGGCAAATGACACGTTTTTGTAAAGCAATGCGACTGAATCAGCGTCAGTTTATATACACGGTATCACGCTAAGAGGCACAAGCTTCTGAAACGAAGTAAAACCGACTTCAGGGAGCACAAATACCGTTACTTTCAAGAGCATTGTAGGAATTTCGAGTTATCACAGCCATCAATTTTACAACAAACACCAGCTCAGACAACCAATCGAAGGCATGAAGGTACAATAATTATCAATTCAAGAGGCATTGAAGGGAGTTTCAAAAGAGAGCACAGTCCCAGGAAGGGTCAAGGACTGCAGGAAACCATAGGCTCCGAGCAGCACAATTAATTCAACAGCAATCCAGGTCGATCAGGAAACGTTTAGAGTAGAGACGCAACTTTTCTCCCTGCCAACCCGCTAATTTCTGGCCCGCAAGAACACGCGGGCTTTTGGTTGAGGCCGACTTGGCGGGTTTTTGCGCGTCAAAAATATTGGCGGGCAAAGCAACGTATTTTTGCGATTTCTCAAGCTTCAGGTGATCCCAAGATCAGAATGTGCTGCTAAGCACGTAACAACCATTAACAGTCATATTTTATTTTTTCAGCAAGAGGGCCAATGACAGAAGCCCGTGGCAACCATGACACACCAGCAAACCAGGCTGTACAAATTGAGCGGCTTGAAGCTAACATCTCGCCGGAAAATTCAAGAACAAAAGAACCTAGCTTTTATACCATAGCCTGGTTTCACTGAGCAGCAGTTA